AATTATTTTAACTCATTAAGGATTGTAAAATTAATCGCATGCGTTAACGATGACAGCCCTAATATATATATATATATATATATTTATAATTTTCTAGAATTTTGTGGAATAAATTTTGTGGGCATTTACACAACACTGCTTTAAAAACAGTTCTTAAAATGTTTTGGGTACTTTTGGTGTTTTGTAAAAATACACTGAAAATATAAAAATGCTCTCAATGGAACTGCCAGTGTACACTCTTATTATTAACACAAAGCATTTTCATATTAGGTTTTGAGGGTGTAGATTCTGTGTGGGCCTGGTCATTAGTACATAATAAACTCTCTGAACAGCTTCCACAATAACAATGAACTTCAGGCCCTCCCTGTCAGAGCTGAAAACCTCTGCTGTCTTCTGCTTGTACTTGACTGTGTATGCACAGTGCTCATTTACCACATCATACTAAGGAATAATGAGGTTTCAAGCTTAATTCTCTTTGGTTGTTATAGACCTTATGCACCAGAGCCATCTATAGAATTTTGTGTTTGAAATTTGTATATTTCTATGGCATCACTGTTGAAGAGTAATTAGATGAAGTAAAGTGTATTTACTTATTGTAGAGTTAACAAAAGTTATTATGAGCATTGCAATGTTTGGACCGGATGTCATAAATGTCAGTAGACCTGGAGGATTTTAAAATTAGCGGTTCATTCATAAATCCATAAGATCTTACCATCACACTGTGGAAAACTAAAGGCAAAAGGGACAGAGCTACATAAGGTCTATATGAGTCTGTGAGCAGCTACAGTCCTTTAAACAGTCAAGTGCAGTTCTAGTAGTAGTTATAGTGCAGTATCTGAAAATGTTGGGCAGGATTATGCTAAGCCATTTTTTTTTTCAATTATAATATTTAAAAATAAAATAATAACAATCAAGGTTTAGTAAATAATTGACTAGAGGCCTGTTCTGTGTTGACACAGTTGGCACAACAACTTTTAAATCCTAATAATTCTCCCTGTTTTCCAAAGAATGACAAAAACCATTTGCAGTACATCAGATTTTGAAGTTTGGTGTGGAAAATTGTAAAAGGTTTTTCACTGTTATTCACTAAATTAACAAAATTAAGAATGCAAAATAATGATCTTTAAAATAGCATCATATGACCCCTTTAATGTACTTTTTCATAATATGAATATGTTGATTGATTGCAAAAGATACTAAATTTGTTATACATATGATTAAATCTGAAACACTAGTAAAACATCTTAAAACTCTAATTTCCATGGGTCCCTCTTGTTGTTTCAAACCTGTATGATTTTCTGTCTTCTGCGGAACTTAATAACAGATATTTTGAAGAATGCTGGTGACCAAACTGTGTTGGTTACCATTGACTGTACATACATGCATACATAAACTTTTTTTTAGACATTTTAAAAAATATCTTCTCTGGTGTTCTGCAGAGTATGTAAGACACAGAGAGTTGGAATGATGACAAATTTTTTTAAATGACCACATTCATGAGATTCAGAGAATAAGAGACAGTCGGTGCAGGTTACTCACAAGGCTCTAATTGAGAAAAACAAAAGCAAAGCTTTCACAGAATTCCAAGTAAAATCTTAACATCTTTTATTCAACAGGTCACAAGTGTACTTGTGAGATCACTGATTAGTTTAATAATATATTGTTCTAATCTGGTGTGCTCCACGCTGTCCTGAGCTGTGGAGATACCCGGACATCATATGATTCCTCTGTTGTAGTGAATGTGAGAGCCTCATTACAGGCCTAAAGCAGGGCCAGTGGCTTCAGTCCATGTGATGCTCTTCGTATCTTTCTGTTCCAACTTTTGCAAATACCGTGACCTGTAATAGCTCTAGCATGTCAGGCCCTTTTGCAATCAATAAAGATTCTAGAGTCAAAGTACCATCAGTCTGTGTGTTTGTGTGTGTGTGTGTGTGTGTGTGTGTGTTTGAGCATTGTCTCACGCATCATATATATTTTATTATATTAGTATACATATGTATGTGAATATTTCTAGTGTATATTCTCTGTCTCTGATCCTGTATGTGGTAGTCTTAGCTTCTGAAGTGTGTGTGTGTGTGTGTGTGTTTGAGCATTGTCTCACGCATCATAT